CCCTCGGCCGCGGCCCCGGGAGGCGGCCGGCGGGCAGGGGCCGCGCGATGTCGCATGGAGCAGGGCTCGTTCGCACCACGTGCAGCAGCAGCAGCAGCGCCTTCGGACCCGGGGCCGGCGCGGGGCCGCGGGGCGCGAGCCCCTCCGAGGGGCTGCTGGACCCCGTCTTCCCCCGCACTCACGGGGCGCTGCTGAAAGTGGCGCAGATGGTAAGAGAGGCCCAGGGCGCAGGGGCCGGGGTCACACGGAGTGGCCCAGTGGGGAAGGGGTCCGGGGAGGGGACGCGTCAAGCGGCCCGAACATCGCTCCACGGGCGGGCGGGCGAGGGGCGGCGCCGCCGAAGTCACGCAGAAGGAAGGCTCCCTCCCCGAAAATGGGGTGTGCAGCCCCCGCCCTGGGGCTCAGCCCCGCCGCCTGCCCCTTGCTTACGTGAACCCATCTCCAGGGCCCCAAGTTCCTCCAGGCGCCCTCTGCGGGGCCTCTCCCACGTCCTGGTAGAAACCGCGGGCAAAAGTTCCTTTTCGTCCTCCTTCCTCTTCTCCGGGCCGCGCGGCTTCGAACCCGAGCCGCGGCTGGAAGAGTCGCCCAGGCGGCGGCGCCGAGGCAGCGAAACCCGACCTCCGCCCTGGCTGCGGCCTCCTCTGGCCTCGCAGCCCGGCGCGCAGGGCTTGGCTCTTCTGGGCGCACTTTCGCCCCAGGCAGGGGATCAGAAGGCCTCCTGTTCCAGGGTCGGGAAAGAGAATCGGGATCCTAGGGCAGCCATCCTGGTCCCCTGCCCGCTTGAGTTTCAAGGGAGGGCCTGGGTCTCAGGCGGCCGTTGGAAGGCAGATGATCAGTGGAGGAGGCTCGTTTTGAGGAGCCCGTACTTAATTGGGGGAGGCAGAATCGCCTGAATGAGGGTCACCTGTGGAGCCAGGCAGGATGAAGGTGACCACACAGCACAGGAGCCTTCCACCAGAGCAGATATGCGGGGCCTATGCTCGTGTTCCCCGCTTTCCTTCTCCCCTCCATTTTTTTCTTTAAAAAATTTGAATCTTAAAACACCTTTCCCATTAGTTTCATGTTTTGAAACTGGGTTGGACTGTTTGTGACTCTCCACTCATTGTAATGTTTGCAGTAAGAATGGTGGAGGGGGGAGCAGTCCTTTCAAAGAGGGATGTGGAGAAAGGAATGTGGGGATAGGAACAACCTGAGGCCCCTTAGCTGGGGCCTGCTAAGGTGCACCAGCTCAGGGGGCGGGACTGAACGCTGGGTGAGAACTGCCCTTACATTCACAGCTCTGTTACCTGGCATGTGTGGAGGAGACTCACATTTCCTGCCTGGGCCAAATCTGAAGGAAAGGGGACCAAGTTCCCTTTTCTCTAAGAAAGGTGTCTAGGTAGACCAAATTAGGAAGTAGAGGCATGTTAGCTACTACCAACAACGAAAAAAATTTATTGAGCAATGGTTGGAGCAAGGCTTTTTTTTTTTTTTTTTGGTTCAGGCTAAGAGATCTGATCAGCTAAACAGAAGGAACCAGCTTATCTCCCATCCTTAAAAAATGGATGGGTGAGACAGGCCTCACCTGAGCAATGAAAGACATGCATGAGTTGAGCGATGAGTTTGGTGGGCAAAGGTTGAGATCAGAAGCTTTCATCTTAGTCCATGAGTTTGATGAACAAAGGTAATGGGGATGAGAAGGCTCCATGCTGGTCTGAGTTTGGTGTACAAAGACTGTGGAGAAGAGAAACATCCATTTCATTTTAAGCTCCTCAGTTAGCCTCTCGCTTGTAGCCCTTGTACCAGGTTGCAAATGATATTGATGGGGCCTGTTGTTCCAAAGACAAGAATAAAGACTTGGAGAATTGCTTCTCTGTATGCAAAACTATGACCAGTGGATTTTTACACCTCTTCCTTCTCTAGGAAACCCTCTGTGCCTACAGATTAGTTTGAGGAGATCCTCTGGGAGTGAAGTTGCCCATGCAGAGTGGTCATATTACAATAGAGAGACTATTTAGGACTGTCTACTTGGGCCTCTTCTCTACCTCCTCCCCATTCTCTTCCTCTTTTCTGGGGCATCTGCTTGGGCATCTGATGTTCACTTTTCTTCTCTGCTGGAAAATGCATAGCCATGTTTTAACATTTGGGAGGGCAGAAGCAGCTAAAATGTTGCCACCCTTTGGGCACTCTGTGGGCCTCTCATTTTGACCATTCAGATGTCTCGCTTATCTCCTGAACAGGCTGCCTCTTCTGTTTTAGACTTCCTATAAAGTGTTTTTATCATGGTCTGATCAATGGACTTGTCAACATATTACTTTAAGAAATCATTGAAATCTTCCTTTGGAGAACAGCTTCCTTTCTTTGCTTTGGGCCTTTCCTGGGTCCACCAGTACCAGAAAAATGAGAAGGTGAGAAAATAGGAAGAAAGCTTCTAAGTGACACTTGGTACTTGACATGTCATTTCGATGAATCTTTATAATCCTGTGGCCATGATGATTTAGTTTCTTTGGTCTTCCTCATTAGACTAGAGATACAGTCATATTCATTGGCCCTAAGAGACTGGTGACTTTTGTTGTTGTTAATAACTTTTTTTTTGAGCCCTACTCTTGTTCTTGATAATGTGCTAGGAATTACATACTATATACCATGTATGTGTCATTATAAATGTTTTTAAGAATCCAATAATGTGTTTAACAAATGAGGAAACTGGCAGAAAGGTTGAGCTACTAAAGTCATGCAGTTGTCTGCAGCAGAGGTGGGATCCACCCAGGCCTGACTGGTTCGTATCCCCAGAAAACCGTAGAGTTAATACTTGTTAATAGATCTAGGGAAATCAAGGCCACAGTGAGATACTACTTCATACCCAACAGAATGGCAGCACTGAAAAAGACATAATAACACGCAGCAAGGATGTGGAAGACGTGAAGAAATCAGAATCCTCATACACCGCCGGTGAGAATATAAAGTGACACAGCCAGTCTGGCAGTTCCTCAAACCGGGAAACATACAGAGCTGCCATATGATCCAGCAGTTCCACTCCTAGGTATATACTCAAGAGAAGTGAAAACATATGTCCACATAAAAACTTCTACGTGAAGATTCATAGCAGCATTATTCATAATAGCTAAAAAAGTAGAAACAACCCAGATATCCATACTGATGAATGGATAAGTAAAAAGGTATATACATACAATGGAATATTAGTCAACTGAAAAAGGAATGAAGTACTGACACCTGCTACAACGTGGATGGACCTTGAAAATATTATGCTAAGTGAAAGAAGCCAGGTACAAAAGGCCACAAAGTATATGATTCCACTTATATGACATGTCCAGAATAGGCAAATTTATAGAGACAGAAAGTGGATTAGTGGTTGTTTAGGGCTGGAGGGTTAGGGAACAATGCAGGGTGGCTGCCAACGGGTAGGGAGTTTGTTTTGGGGATGATGAAAATGTTCCAAAATTGATTGTGGTTGCACACCTCTGTGAATATACTAAAAACCACTGCCATACACTTTACATGTGTGAATTATATCTCAATAAAGCTGTTAAAAATAAATAGATCTAGCGAAGAGTTTGGCATGGGGGAAACTCCGTGAAGTTACTGGGCGTGGGAGGGCCGCAGCTACACTTCCAGAAACTCCTTCCACTGCTAGGGGAAGGCATGTCCACCCAGAACCTCACAAAATCTGAGCTGAAGAGCCGGGTCTCTTGGCATCGCCTGGGTGCCTGAGGGGCCTGACCTTGAAACTGTCCTGAGGTCTAGAGGGATCCAGATGCCCTTGCTTATGGACTCACCAGAACTTCTCATCAGTTTGTTTGTTCAGCAGACACTTTTGAATGCCACATTCATCTCCATTTCTGCAGAAACAGATGGTAGTGACTTAGCCCTTGCTCTCAAGAAGCGTGGGATTCTGCTGAGGAGACAGACAAGTCCCCAAACTGCCTCTTCAGGGACATAAAAGCTCTGATGATTGCCCACATAAAAGAGGAAGAATGGAGGTGACATTTGAGCCAAATCTTGAGAAACGAGTATGAGTTTGTCGGGTTGAGAGTTACACATTTACCCCCTGAATGCCTTTATTCAGTATGCTTAAGTAAAAGATAAGTGACATGTTGGGGATGGGATGGGTGGAAGGGAAGAGAATATAACAAGACATGAGGCAATATTTGTGCAATTCTTAACCTTCCTACCGCCAACCCTTAGAGGCTTCATCTCATTTATTGAGCACCCACCATCTTCTTAACTCTGTGTGAGGCGTGTGGAATGTAGCAGTGAACAGGACAGACCCTTTCTGCCTCTGCAGAAAAACAGACTGGGACATTCGCAAAACCATAATATGTAAGGAAAATCGGAATGTAGTTTCACAAGCAGCAAAGATGGAAACCTAAATGCCTTCCAGAAGGTTCATTTATTTATGCAGCAGATATTTGGACACCTACTGCATACTCAGGCACAGTGGAAAGAAAAGTAAACAAGACAGATCAGTCCCTGTCCTCTTATAGTCTAATAGGGGAAATAACATTAATCAGATGATTATAAATTATAAACTGTGACAAAGGCTATGAAAGAGAGGTACTCAGTAGCATAAAGAATTAACGAGGGGGTCTCACCTGTCTAGGAGGGAAGGAGGGGCTTGTCTGTGGAAGGAATATTTGAAGGAGGAGGGAACGGCATTACTAGAAGAAGGAAGGGCACGCACAATGGCTGAGTCTGGAGGAAGGGGAGTACTGCTGTGGTTGGAGTGGAAAGAACAAGGGTGGAAGCAGCTTGGGCAAGACTGGAGACCTATGCAAGGACCAGACCCCCAAAAGGCCTGCCAGGTCATGCTGAGGGCATGGTCCTTATCCTAAGAATGTCAGAGAAGCATCATGCCCTTGTCAACCCACCACTGAATGATGGTTCTCAACCTGCACTACCCCCTACGGGTCATTTTGGAACTTTGCGTGAACTCTTTTGGTTGTCACAGGGATTAGGATCATATTAGGTAAACATTTTATTCATTTCAGGGTAGTAATGAGGGCATTGCAAACATTTAATATCCTAAAGAGATATTTTGCCTGAAATAAGATTGAAGGAGCCTAGCCAGGCTGGGTGGAACCTGAGTGAGAGTGTGAGTCTTGGGAGAGTACACTTAGTTTTCTGGCACAAAAGAGAATCCTAAAGACCCTTCAGGCCAGGGCGATTATGGGCTACACTTTGCAAATTCACAGCCCAGTTCTCAAATGGA